ATCAGACTCATATTCTGACTAGAATTGAGTAGGACTACGTCAGGCTACCGCGAAGCAGCCGCCAGGAATAAACCAACACTGAGCATCCACCCCCAAACACCGAGCACCAACAAATGCAACGGCGGGCCAAAGTACCAACCAGGAGAGGGGGGTAGGATGGGGGAATGGGCTCCTCACTTAGCAGAGACTTGAGATGTTCTTGGGAGAGGGAGCAGTTCAGACTCAAACCTGACAATTAAGCAGAAAAAAACATACACAGTTTCAATCACGCCTCCCCACCTTAGTGCCCCCACTTGCAACATACAGACTCTTCAAGCAAAAAAAAAAGAAAGAAAATGGCATAAGAACATTCACTCATAACACTCACATCCAATAATCCCAGGACCAAGGAACCGGCAGTGATGGTGCCCGGTCCCGTGATCACCTGATGACCCAGTAGGTGAATCCTGAAATCTGAATGGGCCGCCACAATCCAACCCATTTAGTTCCCCGACTCCCCATCCTGCACCCAGACCAGCACAAGCCCCCTGCGGACGGGGCCAACATTTCACGTACGGGCCATCCAACCCTACCAAAGGGGGTGCCCGGCACAGTCACCACCAACCACAGCAAATGTCTTTACTGTTAAATCTCACCACATCATCTCTGTAATAAGTGTGGACAAAAACATTACTTTATAAAAGAAAAACCCACAATGGTAACAGAAATAACTAGAATCTGACAAAAGCATCATGAAATAACATTCTATGAAAATAAACAAATGAAATTCAGTCATTGCTTTTTAACCATGATTCAACAGAATGATTTTAAAAACTGAACTCATGAAACAAGTCCTGTAACAAACTGGTGGTACCCTTGACTTAGTATTTTGTTGCCCAAACTTTTGTGGCAATCACTGCATCAAATCATTCCTCTCAGCAGGTATTTTTGCACTCTATTCATGAGCAAAACTGCTCCAGTCTTCTCAGATTTCGAGGCCAAGTTTTCCAGACAGCATGTTTCACCTCCTTTCAAAGATGCACGGTAGGATTTAGGTCAGGGCGCTTAGAGGGTTACTTCAGGATAGTCCAATGTTTTTCTCTTGTCACATAGTCCAGAGTTTCCCAATTTTATTCTTGTATGTTTTTATCTGTGTGTTTAGGGTCATTTACCTGTTCCAAGACCCATGACCTGCTAATGACTCAAAACTTTCTGATACTTGGCAACACATTACTCTCTAGAATCCCTTGATAGTGTTTTTTGTAGGCTGGGGAGATTGAAGACAGCCTGTGTAAGATGAAGAAAGCAGCTCAAGAATATAATAAAGCCTCCTCCATGTCTCATAATAAGGAGAGTGTTCATTTCCTGATAGGCTTCATTTTTCATCTGTGAACATAGAGCTGATGTGTCTTGGCAAAAAGTTCCCTTTTTGTCCCATCTGTCCATTATCACAATCTCCCTGAAGCTTTGCTGCCTGTTAACATGTAGTTTCCAGTCTTACTTTTTTTATGATTTGTTTTCAACAACGTTGTCCTTCTTGGTTGTGTCCCATTAAAGGACATATTGTAGGTTAAAGACCCACTTTTATCATAATTGCAAAAATATGTGAAGAATTAGTTTTTTTAATCAGAATTTACTTATATATGAACTATCTAAGCTTCTTGGGTTGTTTCTGTGAAAAATGTTTACTTCCATATTTAATACGGTCATGGAAGTGATGTAATATGGGCTTGTCTGCTTAGCTTACCAGCAGTAAACAATGGATACCAATGCTAACCAATTAATTGGATTAATCTTGATGAATCGATTATTGAAATAATCTCTAAAACATGCCTTTAACTGACAGAGCAATCAACTATAGCAATAATTACACCAAAATTGTGGAAAAAATATGTAAACATTTTTCATTTAAGAAAAAAAACCTTTTCGTCTGTCAATATGTTTGTGGAAAAGTTTTAGTTTCACCTGGTTTAAGTTCATAACACGTCTTCTTTAAGTCTTGGGGGGAGTGTTGGACTAGTGGTTAGAGCAGTGAGCTTGTGCTCTGAGAAGGTTGCAAGTACCCGGTTCGATCCCCACAGCCTGCACCCTGGGTCAAGACCCTTTACTCTACACTGCTCCCCAGGCGCCGCACAATAGCAGCCCACTGCTCCCCAAGGGGATGCATTAAATGCAGAGGTAAATTTGTCCAGTGTTACATCAATAAAGTTCAAGTGTTATTAATCATTTATTATTAGGAAACCTTTGGATGTCCGATTATTAATTGATTAATCCGAAAAATAATCAACAGATTAATTGATTTGCAAAATAATTGTCAGTAACAGCCCTAACTACAACCCTATAGTTATGAGCCTGTTGTACACCAGAAAGAGCAGAGAGAGACCAGGGGGAGAATTAATGGCCGAAGGAGACAGAATGAGTTGTGGTGTGAGAGCATTAGAGAGTAGAGCAAGTGTCATGGTTTAGAGACCAGTGTTAGCTTGTGTGCTAACGTCCCGATTTCATACTGAAAGTATTTGCGTTGCTGGTCAAAATACAAATAGTAACTTCAGTAGATTGTATTGATTTTAATTA